CTCAGTGGGGGACAAAACGCGGCTACCGTAGGCCACCACCCGCTCTACCCCATCGACAACCTGAGCCAGGACGGCCCCAATGCCCGTGTCACTGGCGTCGGTGTCGAGGAGGAACGGCCGGGAGAAATCCGGGTACCCCAAGGGCGGCGCATCTGCCAAGGCCGTGCGAAGCGCCGCAAAAGCGGCCTCCTCCTCCTTCCCCCAGCGAAATTTCTGTCCCTTGGCAGAGAGTGCATGTAGTGGCTTCGCAATAGTCGCAAAATCGCGGACGAACCGGCGATAGTACGATGCGAAGCCCACAAAGCTACGCACCTCAGCGACAGATGTGGGAGTCGGCCACGTCCGGACACAGGCAGTCTTCTCCGGATCCGTGGCCACACCTGACGCGCTAACAATGTGGCCCAAATACTTCACCGATGGTTGCAGCAGGTGGCATTTCCGAGGTTTGAATTTTAAGCCCGCAGCGCGCAATTTGGCGAACACCGCCTCCAACCGCTGCAAGTGTTCGTCAAACGTACGTCCAAAAGCGATAACGTCGTCCAAGTAAATCAAACAAGACTCCCGCTGCAGCCCCGCCAAGACCAATCCCACGAGGCGCTGAAAGGTGGCCGGGGCCGAATGAAGACCCATAGGGAGCCGATTGAATTGGAACTGCCCCTGGGGTGTGTGGAACGCGGTCTTTGGCCTGGACGCCTCATCCAATGGTAACTGCCAAAAGCCAGCAAAGCAAATCGAGGGTCGAAAAGAACCGTGCACCCGAGAGAGCGTCGAGGGAATCGTCCATGCGAGGCAAGGGATGTGCATCGGCCACTGAAATCTTTACTCTTTGGTTCTATTCGGTAAAGTCACGTAGGTAAATAATAAAACAACAATAATCACGACGTTTCGGCCACAACACAAGCGGCCTTCATCAGGTGAAGGGACGAGCCTGTCTGGAGGACAGCGCTGGAGTGGAAGAAGCCACGCTTAGATCACGACATTTAAGCTTGTGATCGCGGCATCTTTTGAGGAAGGTCAGCGTCTCGATGAGCTGTGACTTCTTGTCCCGTTGTCTGTTAAAAGCTCTAACAGATGGGTGAAAGCCCTCCCCGTAGAGGTTATCAATTCTAGATTTAAAGCTTTCGTGACTGCAAGGATCCATACTCTTTGGTTCTATTCGGTAAAGTCGCGTAGGTAAATAATAAAACAACACCTACGTGACTTTACCGAATAGAACCAAAGAGTATGGATCCTTGCAGTCACGAAAGCTTTAAATCACTGAAATCTTGTTCAATTTATGGAAGTCGACGCAGGAGCGGAGACTCCCGTCCCGTGTCTTGACTAGCACGATGGGGGCTCCCCAAGGGCTGGTGGAAGGAGAGATAATGTCCGCCGCCAACATGTGATCAACTGCGGAGCGGACATGATCCCATTCCGCTGGGCTAAAGCGGTGTGAGTTCAGCCGAATAGGGGCCGCCGAGTCGCCCGTGTCGATATGATGTTCCAGGAGAGTGGTACGGCCCAAATTCGAATTTGCCCTGGCTGAACACATCGGCGAATATCTGACGATGAGATCGCGGAGGAGCCGCTGGCGCTCCTGGGAGGGCAACGAGGCGTTCTCAATGCACAACGCATCGATCCAGGATGCGTCGGGCCCCCCCCCCACGGACAGTACTCCCGCCACCACCCCTCCCGGCGGCTCAAGGATGCCGGGAGGAGGGCCTGGGGTGGCATGCGCCAACCACGGCGCCAACAGCGACGGCGATCGGCGCGGGCCCCCGGATTTAGGACCTGCAAAGAAAAGTCCCTGGACCCGCAGCCACGGCTGTGAAAGCGCCCACCAGCCCGTCGAATCTCGCAAAATAATTGGAAGGAGACAGGAGGACGCCTGCATCCGGGGACTCCCAACGTCAATGGCCTGCGCAGCCTGAGGGGGAGCAGGATCCGCGACTCGGGTGGAACCGTCACGGATTTCGTGGTCATAGCCCATACACTGGCGGCCAGGGGAGCCACGACCGAGGGGGACTGCGGGAAATGCAGCCGGTCCCCCGACGGCATCTCCACACACCCCTGGTCGACTGGGATCCGAACGGGCATCCTGGCCAAAAAAAATCGGTGCCTAACAGGCACGGCACGGCCAGAGTCCTAGAGACCAACACAGGTCCCCGCAACGCGATATCTCTCCCCCCCCGTCGCCACAGACGCGACGACATGGCCCCAAAATACCGAGGCTACCCCCCCGTTGGCAGCCACGCGCACACACTGTGCGGCAGCGACCGGAAGACGGCCTCGGACGCAATGGTGGCGGACGCCCCCGTGTCCACCAGGATCCTCGCGTCCACCCCCTGCACGCGCCCCACCACGGCCGAGGACCCGACAGCGGCGAGGTGGCCGCCGCTGTCGGGTCCCTCCGGGCCACGCGATCGTCGGGCGCACCGCCCCCCGCCCCCCCCCCAGAGATGGGCCCATGAAGATGGACCCTAACCCTACGAGATGCCTGAGGTGGAGAGAGCGGCCGTGCGATGGAAGCGTCGCGACTTGCCTGCTGCCCGGGAGGCTCCGCTGCTGGGGGGACGCCCGCAAGGAGGAGAGGCCTTGGAGGAGGCCCCGGGCTCGTTGTTGCACCCGCTCTCAAAGCGGCCCACCTGGCCACAACGAGAGCAGGTGGCCCGCCCCTGGGCCTGCCAACGGTGAGGTCCCGCCCGCCCCGGGCCCCCCTGGCCGGCGAGCACCCACGCACGCCGCCATCGCTGGAGGCCGACGCAGCGCAAGGTGGGCCTGAATATTTCGCGCGACGGCCAGCGAAGTGGCCTTGGCCCCTGCCCCGATGGACGTAACAAATCCCCCAGCTCCCCTGCGAGGACCGGCAGCCTCTCCAGGACCAGGGAGTCCAGCGCGGTCCCTTCCGAGCCAATGCAAGGAGGGGAGCAGCGGAACGCAAGAGGCGATTCCCCCTCCCTCCCTCCCTCCCTGCGGCGCGCGGTGAACTTGAGAGGCGCGCTTCGTCGGGCGGCTCGAACACCTCGGCCATCCGCTGGTAGGCCGACTGCAGCGTCGCCTTCCTCCGCCGGTGGGACGTTCAGAAAGGTGTGCGGTTGCCCGAGCGTCCAAGCATGTGGGGGCAGTGCGAGCAGCTCCTCCTCTTCCGGGCCAGCGCACGGACCGACGGGCCGCATCAAACCTGGCCTGGAAATCCAGCCGGTCACCCCCCCTTCGTGGACACGAACGGCGCCACAGGGGTGCAGCCGACCCCGAACCCACCGGCCGGGACTCGCCCAAACAGCAGCGATCGCCGTGCCGCCCCCGCGGCCGTGCCGCACCCGCACCTCGGGCAGCTCCAGCAGGCGGTGAGCTGCGCTACCGACTGCTGGCGCAGCTCCAGCTTGGGCAGCTAAGCCCCGCCACACGTCGGCTGGCGGCGCCCGCAGCTCCCCCCCCAGCCGCCGGCCTCCCCCCCCCCCGGCTCCAGCCGGGCCACCTCCACGGGGCGCGTATCCTGGGGGGCCCCCGACCTCCGGGGTCTTCGCCAGGGCCGCGTCACCGCCTTGCTCTTCGTGGCGCCGGTACACCAGGCGCGGTCTTCCGTCTCGCGCCAATATTTGGACACGGTCGCGAGCACGGAAGCCACTTCTGACACCAGTTGTTGTGGTGTAAATGGCGACACGAAGGCAGACGTTGTCGGGGCTGACGCCAACCAGTTTATTAAGGGCTGTCGCCTAGCTTTTTGGGGAAGGGCTAACACAAGACTTGGGTAAGCTAAGTCTCACCACGGGGAAAGGGTACTGGGAATCCCCCTTGCCTGGAGCTCGTCGTCCCCTACCCTGGGTCCCCACTTCCCTATCGCTCACGAACCCGGCTCCTGGCGAAGACCCCCTCTACGTCACCGGCCCCCCCCCCCTCAAATACCCCGAGGGGACGTGACGTCACTCCTCCCGAGGCGAGTGTGACATTCCGTCATCCCTCTACTCCTCAACATATATATAAGGGCAAATATCGTTAATCTTAATTTAGTAAAAGGCTCGATATCCAACAGTTCTTACACGAAGTGGTGCAGATAAATGCACAGCGAGGACGAGACAGGTCCCACTAGGTTCCTTGTTTTAAAGAAAACTACGAATTGTTCTCGCGAGGAAGATGGCACCAACACTTCTAAGCTGACAGTTCGTGTCGCACAAACATCCACAGTCACGTGAATACAAGGGCATTGCTCATATTCATAACACACAATCGATCTGTCCAGACATCCGATATTCTATACGTGACCCTGATACGCGCAAATTGTTACATCGAGACTCACAATCGGTTGATGCGTAATCATTCGTTCGTAATGCTAAATAATGTTTTCAATGCCATCAGATTTACAGAATCCGAAGAACCAGAAGTGTATTTTCCGAGCAAAGCCCATTGGGCAGAGATCTGTTTCAAGGGCGACTCGGGCCAGTAGGTAACATCAAAGCATTCCACCCAATTACAGATAAAACAAAGACATGTTATAATAGTAACCACGTTTTAAAATAGCACTCACACCTAAACGTTGGTGATTTTAATAAGGGAATCAGTTTGAATGAGGACAGAAGATGGCCGGATGGAGATTCCAAGAGACGAAACTTCTTGGGTGGTTTCCAAGGCTTTGGGGTAGCTACGTTAAATGAAAGGTAATCTCCGAGTGGACGACGCAGACAGCTGCACGCATTGTTGTAATAAGAGATGCCTGTAAATAAGGCGACCTTCATTGGGAATTCTTTCAGACCTTTCCAGACCCCACTTCTAACGTGCTGGGCCCTCTTCCTCTGCTTTGTCCAAAAACTTCGAAGATAAATTTGGCCCCTTGAGAGCCTGAACAGAAGTGTGGCAGCGAGCACCGATGAAGGCCGGCACGGTACACGAGGGGGGTGGGTGGCCAGCACCATGCCCGTCCGCCTTTGTCTCCCCAGTGGTATTTAGGCACCACACCAGGTACTCATTTGAGGCTGAATTGACCTAGGGGAGGCCCAGGACCAATTCAGATAATTGTCACCGATGTCGACCGTGAACGGGAATCAAACTCGGGTTCCGCACGCTCGTAAGGCGGCACACTAACCACTGCACGATCCCTCCCCCAAAAACTCCACCCACACCTCCACATCCACAACCTCATGGGGGTCGCCTGGCCCTCCCTCAGAGTCCGAAAGCTGCTCCTGCTTGACGCTGCCTCCATCCACCTGGAGGTCGGGGCCTGGAGTTGAGTCTTCATCTTCACATTTCACTTTCACTTCTTCACATTCCATCTTCACCTTTTCACATTTCACCTTCACCTCTTCACATTCCCCCTTCACTTCTTCCCGTTCAACCTTCACTGATGGCCACGTTGCTAAACTCGGGTTGTCTTTTGGGTCTTGTTGCATGCGAGATGGGCTGGATTCCACCTCCTCCACATGGATCTTCTCATGCCAATTTCGGTCGACTGACTGTGCGAATAACTTCCCACACACAGTGCACTTGAAGGGCTTCTCGCCTGTGTGTCGTCTCTGGTGATGATTCTTAAGATATCTTGACTGTGTAAATGCTTTACCACACACAGTGCACTTGAAGGGCTTCTCGCCTGTGTGTTTTCTCTGGTGACTGTTCAGAGATCCTGAGCGTGTAAACGCTTTACCACACACAGTGCACTTGAACGGCTTCTCGCCTGTGTGTGTTCTCTGGTGAATGTTAAGGTATGCTGACTGTATAAACGCTTTACCACACACAGTGCACTTGAAGGGCTTCTCACCTGTGTGTGTTCTCTGGTGAATGTTAAGAGATGCTGACCGTGTAAACGCTTTACCACAAACAGTGCACTTGAAGGGATTGGCGCCAGTGTGTGTTATCTGGTGAATTTGGAGATGTGATGAGCGTTTAAATGTCTTCTCACACAAAGTGCACTTGAAGGGCTTATCGCTTGAATGTGTTCTCTGGTGAATGTTAAGATATGCTGACCGTGCAAACGCTTTGCCACAAACAGTGCACTTGAAGGGTTTCTCGCCTGTGTGTGTTCTCTGGTGAACGTGACGAGTTGCTGAACGTGTAAACGCTTTACCACAAACAGTACACTCGAAGGGCTTCTCTCCTGTGTGCTGTCTCTGGTGAGTTCTAAGTTGTGATGAACGTCGAAATACCTTCTCGCATACAGTACACTTGAAGGCCTTCATGGCCATGTGTAATTTGTGGTACAAATTAATGTGTCCAGTGTGGCTCATGTCGTATGGACACTGCTCGCATTGGTTCCTTCTAGCACTGGGCTGTCTTGAGTCTCTGCTTCATGTCATTCAACCTACACATTACACACAATAAATATATACACACACAATTACACACAATATACATGATACACACACATTATACACCTTACACAATATACACATGCGTTACATACTGACACACAGTACACCCAGGGGACATGAGATAAACACATTACACACAATATACACAGATTATACACCTACACGTAGTATTATTCACGATGTACTTACAAAATATCAGCAGACTACCTGCTGGATCTCCTCCCTGTTTCGAAGAACAAATGTGACCTAAGGTCTTCGCTCATTCACCAGCTTCACATTCCTTATTGCCGTGCAAATACTGGAGGAAGGGCCTTTTCTATTGATGCCCCCAGGGTCTGGAATGCTATCGCCAATAAACTGCAACTTGGATCACTACCTGTGTTTTTTCTTGAAGAATTTGCTGTCTTTTCCAGGATTTTTCTGTTGCGCATCGTCACTTTAAGATGTTTCTTGTTCATGTTTTTGTTTTGTTGCAGTTGCACCCGAGTCAAGAGCCGCATGGCTCACAGGGTTATACCTAATAAATGAAACTAAACTAAATGAAAGACCCATCCGAACAGATACTTAGCCATGCGGTGGCTGGGAATGCGAGCGATATGATCCAGCCAACGCAGACTCGCTTGCCAGGAGAGCTCACAGATTTTTGTTTTAAAATGATTCAATATTTTTTTATCACACCAGGTAAAGCCCACTGAGCAATATATATCTTTTTCAGAAATGACCCGGCCACAAATGATAGCTCAACGAAGTGGCTTATCATCACGTGGAAATGTTTAGCAGCCAAATATGCTAAAAGTATGTTTCTAAATGTCAGGGTCCGGATTGAACCTATGACCTCCTGTATACCAGGCGATGTAGTTAACATCTCACCATTGTGGCACACTGATGGGACTTTGTCCAGATCTTGCAATGATCCCTGAACAACTTACACAAACCAGTGTGGTTAATCCCAGGATGGATTGTAGACAGGTTAGCCTGAATATTACCAAATGGTGCAGATGTTCAGTTAGAGGGGGCTCCACATTTTGCAAGGGAGGGCATGGCTGTGTAGAGGTGTTATGGGAGGACACGCGGTTGTAGGGCAGTGGCCACAAACACGTCCGCTCCAGCCACCACCCTGGGGGGCTGTGGGGGACGCTGTGATCCCTCCCAGCCCCACCCCTCAGTGAGGGACTGTATAAAAGGTGGGACCCGGAGAACTGAGGCGCAGTTCGACTCAAGCAAGGTGAAGAGCCAGTGAAGAAACAAGATCGACTAGCCAGACCCTGGAACTCCTTTGGCCCGCTGTCCTTTCGAGGGACGGACTCGTGTGGCTGGTGATCGGGACCTGCGTCGAAGCTGGGCCAGGTCAGACAGCCTTCTGAGGGAGGACCAGGATAGAGGGAACCAGGGAGCTAGCGTGGGCTAAAGCTCGGGGAACGTTCCCTCTATAGAGTACGGGTGAAGAGGCCGTTAACGCTTCAAGTATCAGATTCGCCACTGTAATTGAAGTGTCTGTAATAAATACGCGTTGTCTCCAAAGAACAGTCTCCGACATCAATAAGGCCACTACAACTGTATCCGAGAAGACCTGAAGCTTCGTGTGGAGCGACAGGCGAGGTAGCCGCCATGCAGAATTATGCAGTCGATTAAATGAAAATGATGTCGGACTGATTCAGAGTGAGACCTCTGCTGTCAAACCGGTCGGTGCTGGACATGAGGACACTGCCCAGGTATGGGAAACTCTCCAACCTCTCAACTGCTACACCACCAATGGGGAGCTGAGGGGGTGGAGTCTTTGATGACACAAAATACCCAGGCAGGTGCTTAGTTTTGGTGGGGCTGATGGTAAGACCCCACCTCTTTGTGGCACACTCCAGGTTCAGCAGCAGCGCCTCCAACTCCTCCTCTGAGCAGCAATCACCAGATCAGCAAACATAAGGGGCCGTCCATAAATGACGTCACACACCTAAGGGGGGAGGGGGGTCAGACATTTGTGACGATGTGTGACGAGGGGGGGAGGGGGGATTTGATGTGACGTCACGTCAAAATACGCAACTTTAAATAAATATAAATAGAATTGTTATAACACTAATTTTGATAAATTTTCATTATTAACTATTTCATTATTTAAATTTACTAAGGTCACCTTTAATTTATTCCATGAAGGAGCATTTTGCTTAGAATTTCAATATATTCTTAACATTTACAGTTTTAGTTAAGCTTTGAATATTTTCAAGTGAATTTTATGCTAAATTTCAGCTTTCCAACGACTCATTTTTAATACGCGTTTTCTCCTACAACATCAGAGAGTGCAGCGCCACATTAAATACGCACTACAATGACAATAGTTTAAAGTGATTTGAAGAATGTTTTATTTTCAAAATGGAAATATGGTTTTGGCGGGGGGGGGGGGGGGGGGGGGGGGGGGGGCAGAGCTCCGTGACGTCATATTTGAGGGGGGTCTGACTTCTTGTGACGCCGTGTGACGAGGGAGGGAAGGGGTAAAAAATCTGCCAAATTCGCGTGATGTCATTTATGGATGGCCGATCTTGACACCGCTGGTACCAGTCGTGAGCAAGTTCACTCAGCTCCACATCCTCCTGTATCACATCACTCATCTTTAGCCCATGACACACCCGTTTAGCCTCCTGTATGTAACTTAACAAAAGCTGCTTGGGCAGGCAGTGGCTGGGCATACGGGGCACATGACCCAGCCGACGCATCCTCGCCTGTTGGAGGAGTTCACCGATGGGACTGTCCAGATCTTTCAAGGATTTGCGAGCTCCTCACATAAAGCAGCTTGGCTAAATCTCGGCCAGATCGAAGGCAGCGGCGGTAGTAACGTGGGCAGCAGTAGCAGCTGTTGAAAGTTATCACTTAGGGCCTACAAGAACCTTGACCCATCCCTGCAGCAACCACCACTACTACAAGCACTAAAACCACAACAAAAAAACAACCGCTACAACCACCACAACTACGACCACAACAACCACGACCACCACGACCACCACAACCACGACAACCACAACTACGAACACCCCAACTACGACCACCACAACCACTACCATCACAACTACGACCACCACAACTACGACCACCACAACCACGACCACCAGAACACCACCACAACACAACCACCACTACCACCAAAACACAACCACCACAACACTACCACAACAATTCTAGATTTGAAGCTTTCGTGACTGCAAGGATCCATACTCTTTGGTTCTATTCGGTAAAGTCACAAATTGAGCTGCACTTGTGGTGATTGCTATATCGGGGAGACGAAACGACATGTCTCTGACCGAATTCGCGAGCACAAATCAGATTTGAAACACGGCAGAACGAATTCTTCTGCCGTAGCTGATCACTGTTACAACGCTGTTGATGATCACGATATAGTTTTCTCCGATACCAAGGTCCTTTGTAAACCCACGGGTTATCATCAGAGATTTGTCCACGAGGCAATTCAGATTTACAAACACAGACACAATTTCAACCGAGAAGATGGTTTCAAATTAAGCAACCATTGGAAAGATGTTCTAAATCATACCGAACATTAAACTAATTTTCAATAGCATTTATCCAAATAGTGACATACCAAACTTTCATAGAAGCTTATTTCGCTTCACACATACATTTGTAAACTCCCCCCTCACCCCGTGCCGGTCCTCTTGCGCTTTTCGGTCATGTTATGCTAATTCCTTTGTCAAAGCGTTTTGTTTCCTCCCACACAGCTTAAAAGGACGCGACCTGGGCTGGACTGTCTTCACTCCAACGCTGTCCTCGTGACAGTACGGTCCCCTTCACCTGATGAAGGCCACTTGTGTTGTGGCCGAAACGTCGTGATTTTTGCTGTTTTATTTTTTTTACCTACGTGACTTTACCGATTAGAACCAAAGACTACCACAACAACAACACAACCACAACAACACAACCACCACAACACTACCACAACAACACAACCACCACAACACCACCACCACAACACCACCACCACAACACCACCACCAAAACACTACCACAACAACACAACCACCACAACACCACCACCACAACACAACCACCACAACACAACCACCACCACAACACCACCACCACAACACAACCACCGCCACAACACCACCACCACAACACCACCACAACCACCGCCACAACACCACCACCACCACAACACAACCACCGCCACAACACCACCGCCACAACACCACCACCACAACATCACCACAACACAACCACCACCATACTCTTTGGTTCTATTGGGTAAAGTCACGTAGGTGAAAATAAAATAACAAAAAATTACGACGTTTCGGCCACAACACAAGCGGCCTTCATCAGGTGAAGGGACGAGACTGTCTGGAGGACAGCGCTGGAGTGGAAGAAGCCACACTTAGATCACGACCTTTAAGCTGTGTGAGAAGAAAACAAAGCGCCTTGACAAAGGAATTAGCGTAGAATTTAGCATTGAAATGGCTCATTGAAATAACAACCACCAACACAACACCACCACAACACAACACAACCACCACCACCACAACCACCACCACACTACCACAACAACAACACCACCACAACACCACCACAACACCACCACCACAACACCACCACAACACCACCACCACAACACCACCACCACAACAACCACCACAACACCACCACCACCACAACACCACCACCACCACAACAACACCACCACAACACAACACCACCACAACAACAACAACACCACCACCACAACAACACCACCACGACAACACCACAACAACACTACCACAACAACAACAACACCACCACCACCATCAGCACCTCTGCTCAGAGACGCACGGAGTCGACTCCCGGACGTCACTTCCTGGTTCAGGGGTCGTCTCGTGACGTCATCGAGCCCGAAACGGGCTCAGAGTGAGGGGAGGGGAAGAGGGGTGGGTGGGGGGGGGTGTCTCGCGCTCGATGACGTCTCGCGCTCGATGACGTCACGAGACGACCCCTGAACCAGGAAGTGACGTCGGGGAGTCATAGTTCATAGTTCATTTATGTTGGTATAGCCCTGTGAGCCATTCGGCTCTTGAATCGGGTGCAACCGCAACAAACAAACAACACGAACAAGAAAACATCTTAAAGTGACTTTGTGTGACTGTGCAAACAGAAAATACAGGAAAAAAATATCAAAATATTCCTGAAATAGCACCGTACACCAACGCTGTGTGCAAAAATCCCAGTGGGATGCAAGTCAAAATAACAACAACAACCAAAAGACAACTAAGATTAAGGCCATCAGTCAACTCGGTACTACAATGAACAAAAACATGGCCAAAACAAAAAAAACTTTTCGAAATCACCAAAATAAAAGCCATAAATCCAATGTAACAGTGATCATAGGGACTGTAACCGAATGTTTTTACAATAAACTACATAAATTAATTGTAACACCAAAATCTAGAGCCATATTCTAGGCCACTGAATAGCAGTGGCAGCTAGGGTTGTACAACTCCTCTAGAGCAGTTTTGAGTGAAGATCTCATAGGTAGTGATTCAAGTTGCAGTTAATTGGCAATAGCATTCCAGACACTAGGGGCATCAATAGCAAAGGCCCTTCCTCCAGTTTTAGTACGGCAATAGGGAATGTGAAGCTGGTAAATGAGCGAAGACCTGAGGTCAAATTTGTTCTTTGAAACAGAGAGGAGATCCAGTAGGTAGTCTGCGGAATTTGTTGTAAGTACATCGTGAATAAATAAGATCTGGTGCACAAGCTGTCGAACATTAAGAGATGTTAAGTTTGACCCAATGTAGAGATCACAGTGGTGAGTCCTATATGGGCAGTTCAATGCAAATCTTAAGGCCGAGTGATAGATGGAATCAAGCTTCTTCAGTACAGTACTTGGGGCTGATTTATACACGATGTCACAGTAGTCAAGTAGAGGCAGTATGGTAGCTTTTATCAATTCCAAACGGAACATTGGGGGGAAGCAGTGCTTGTGTCGATACAGAAAACCAATTTTTATTTTTGTCTTTTTACCAATATAATCAATGTGATCTTCAAAACTAAGATTTGAATCCAGGATGACCCCAAGATACTTATAGATCTTGACTTGCTCTATTTGATAATTATTCAAGGAATGTAATTGGGGAAAAATTACTTCCTGCTTTAATCCCGGAGAGAAGCATAGCACCTTGGTTTTGGAGGTATTCAGGACTAGTTTAAGAGAAACTAGCTGATGTTGTAGTTTGTTGAAATCACCCTGGAGCTTAGCAATCACGTCATCCGGAGAGCGGCCAGCAGTAATCAGTATCGTGTCATCTCCAAAAAGATTTACCCTGGAATGATCCAGTTCAGTGCCCAAGTCATTGACATAAAGAGAGAACAAGAGGGGGCCGAGGATGGAACCCTGTGGAACCCCTTTTGTTATCTTAACACTGTTTGACCTCCAACCATCTGTGAATACAGTTTGGGTGCGAGAAAAGAAGTAATTTTTTAACCATTGTACTGTGTTCTCGGAAAACCGAGGCAACTTAGTTTACTAAGCAGGGTTTTATGGTCAACTGTATCAAAAGCTTTGGACAGGTCAAGAAAAAGACAGGCACAGTACTGCTTATTATCAAGGCTATTGTAAATTTGATTCAAAGAGTCTAATGCAGCAGATGTGGTGCTGTATTTTTTTCCAGAACCCAGATTGTTTTAGATGTAGTAGATTGTTGGTGGACAGGAAACTGCTAATTTGGTAGTTCAATAATTTTTCAAAATTTTTCATCAATGGGGACAAAATTGAGATAGGTCGGTAGTTATTGGCATCATCTTTAGGGCCCCTTTGTGAAGTGGACGGACATAGGAATGTTTCCATTCTAGAGGAACTGATGCTTCTTTGATGGAGAGGTTGAAAATATGGGCTATAGGTTTGTATATTAGGTGACCAACAGTTAGTAGAGCAAAGACGGGAAAACTATCTGCTCCGGTAGAGGAGGACCCTTTGAGGTAGGACAGTTGTTTCAGAACATTACTTTGGTGGATTGGTTGGAAACTAAATTCGTTTAATGTTTGGACAGGGGTGTAGGAATTTGCAGGAGCAGGGGTGACTCCCAATACATTATCAAAAAGATTACCAGCTTCAGAAAAATGAAGGTTAAAATTGTCAACTATTTTTTTGGGATCTGAAAAATATTCCCCATTTCGGTGAAGCTCAACGGGCAGATTTTCTGTTTTGGATGCCTTTTCGATAGATTTGATTGTTTTCCAAAAAATCCTGGCATTTCCATGTGATTCCAGGAGAGTGGAGGAAAAATAGGCATTTTTTTGCATGCCGTATTTTTTTTACGCATCTATTCCTTAAAATCCTGTATTCTAGCCAGTCATTTACCAAATTACTTTTCCGAGCACATGCCCAAGCCTTGTCCCTAGTTTTCATGAGCTTTGTAATCAAAGGATCATACCATGGTGGGTGGTTGCCTTTAGTTTTAAATCTAACCAACGGAGCATGTTTGTTAAGAATTTGGAGAAACGTGCACCTGAAAGTCTCCCATGCCGTAGTCAGGTTGAGGATATCACAGACCTTATCAATATCTGAGTGAAGCACATCATTTGTAAATGCCTGAGTGCTGAAGTGTCTCAAAGAGTGCTTCTCAACAATTTTATGGGGGGCTTTGGGTCTGGCTGATGATCTCACACCAAAAATGAAGGAGTGATCACTAAGGTTATTA